CGTGGCGGGGAGGCTCCGGATGGCGGGCGGCGGGGGGGGGGATCCAGAGAGTAGGAGAGGACAGGGACTGGGGGCTGAGGGGAGCCCAGGTGTGGACAGAGATCAGGGCAGGGCAGGGTTGCATACTGAGGGGCCCGCTGGGCTCCTGGTCGGCCATCTCCACACCCCCACCCCCCAGCTCCCCACCTCGGCCACAGCTCCAGAAGAACTCCCTGAGCTCCCAGTCACCCCGGGAGGGGCAGCACAGATCTCACCCGGCATCTGGGGCGGGGGGCTGGGTGAAGGACATCCAGGACAGGGCAGGGCCTGCATCCTCCCAGCCAGGCAGCACAGACCCCGCAGTGGCTATGGCTTCTGGGATCCCCAGATGAGTTCAACTCCCAACTCTGCCTCGAGCTCTGTGGTCCTAGCCCTTAGCCTCAGTTTTCCTCTCTGAAAAGTGGGGGTGACAATGGCAACTGTCTCAGAGGGTGGCTCTGAGAATTATGTGAGGCGGTGTCTAGAAAGCTCTGGCACACGGCCTGTATGTAGTAAGGGCAGCTTGCTACCGTGTTGGGGTGTGACTCAGAGTGGGGCCGGGGGAAAGGTGCCCTCTTCCACTCAGCACCCATTCCTTCCTGCTTGGCCTGGGCTCCTCCCTGCAGAGTCAGAGGGTCCCTGGTGGGGCAGGGATAACAGGCTGTCTGGAACTCAAGGGAGACATCCCACGGTGCACCCCAGATGGGGTCAGGCCCCGTGCCAACGCGGCCACACCCCCACTTGCCTCTCAGGATCTCCTACTGCACAGCCGACAAGACGCACGACAAGGTGTTCGCATACATCGCCCAGGGCCAGCACAGCGAGAGCCTGGAGTGCCACGCCTTCCTCTGCACCAAGCGGAAAATGGTCAGTGGGGGCCGCGGCCGGGCGTGCGCTAGCCTTGCAGGCCTGTCTGGTGCAGGACGCAGGGGGGTGGTCGTCAGTTCTATACAGAGCAGATCCCTGGGACTCCCACATGGGTGCTGAGAGCCGAGGTGCAGAGGAGGCTGCCGTCAGGTGGGGACCGGCTGTCGGACTGGCTGTGGACCGCCGCAGCCCCTGTCCTCAGCGAGTCCCTGCGCCCCTTTCTCTCTGTACAGTGGCTTATGAGCTTGAGGTTATTTCAGGTCTCCTGTCGTTAGCACAGTCGGGGGTGCAGGCCTTGTAGGGATTCGACCCTGCAGGTGGGAGACCGGAGGGGCCTGGGGTAGAAACAGAGGCTAGGACCCTTGGGAGCAGGCTTACTGTGGACGTTCAGTGCTTTCTCATTTAGTCCTCACAACTGTGTGGGGGTAGCTGCGGGGGTAAAAACAGAAGCTATCTAGCTGTTTTGTGTTCTTTTATTTTTCACTTTTTTTTTTTTTGAGAGGTTTTTGCTCTAGGGTGCGTACGCTCGCCAGAAAGACAGAGACAGAGAGACATAAAGAGAGAAATCACCCCCCGGGGGGAAGGCCACATTGCAATCCCTTCTCCATTCTTCTCCCTGGATCTTGGGCACGCAAATACATGCGCCTGGCTGAGTTCAAGCCACTGGGTCTGGGACTCGAATCGTGGTCGACTACATGAGAGTCCAGCGACATAGCCATTACGCTAACTGCTGGTCCCTGTGTTAATTTCTAATGAGGAAAGACTCCCAGAGGTCAGCCAGCTGACGGTGACACAGCCAGCTAAGGGCAGAGTGCAGCCACATTCCATCCCGCCCCGCGTGACTGAGGAGCCAGGGGCTGCACGGTTTCCATCTAGCTGGCCTGCGTAGGGACCTTAGTGTCTCTGCGATTTGTCTTGAATGGGGGTAGAGAGCTGTCGTGGGTCAGCCTCTGGCTTTGAAGCTCATGTCCCTGTGGCCGCCAAGGTCTGAGCCTCCTCCCCGTGAGGCGACTCCTGACATCTGTTGGTGTAGTCGTGTTTAATTGTCACACCTGTTAACCTGTGTGGGTAGCTTGGAGCAAGGAGACAAGACCTCCCATCACCAAAGGACACCCCAAGGACATCACAGCGCTCTGGCCTCCAGCCTCCCTGCTCCCAGGGGCGCTCACTGTGGCTGCTGTAACGAACAACCAGTCACTGACACCAGCACAGATGCATCCCTACAGTCCTGCAGATCAGGAGTCTCAGAGAGGTTGGCACGGCTGTTTTCTTCGCAGCCTCCAAGGCAGAATTCATTTTCTTTTCTTTTTAAATTTGCACTTACTAGAGAGAGGGAGAGAAAGAAAGAGAAAGCACCCCCCCCACCACCCAGGGGACATGGCCATACCACAATCCCTTCTCCCTGGGTTTTGGGCATGCATGCACACGCATTTGGTGTTTTTCAAGCTGTGGGATCCAGCTGCCGTAACCACCAGGCTGCAGACTGGCTTGCCTTTCTGCCTTCTGGAGACCACGTGCATTCTCGACTCGCAGCCTGCCCTCTGTCTGTGGAGCCCGGGGTGCAGGCTGGGCCTCTCTCCCTCAGGCTGCCTGCACACTGCTGCTCCTGCCTCCGACTCTCCAGCCCCTTCTGAGGTCCTTTGCAATGACATTGGGCCCGCCGGGTAATCCAGGATGATCTGGCGCTGTAAGGTCTTTAACTTAATCACACCTGCAGAGCCTCTGTGTGAGACGGCACTCGCAGGGCCCAGGGATCCGCAGGTGGACACCCTGGGGGAGGGCTATGGTCAGGCCTGCCCAGGCGTCATGGGTCCCTGAAGTAGGGAATGGACTAGGGGCTGATCCTCGCTGTGCTCTGTGGCCTTGGCTCTCATCCTGCCCTTCTCTGGGGTCATCTCAGCGACCCCAGGGTTCTGAAAGGCCCCAGGTTCTTTCATACACCTCGTTTCTGTCCTGCAGACTCAGTGTCACCAGCCACTCACCCGGGGTCTCGCGATGCCCCAGGACCTGGCTATTCTCACAGGGACCCTCGGCTTTGTTTCCCAGGGGGCCACAGACTCGTCACGTCCCCCTTGTTGGTCTCTTCCTCCCCGCTGACTGGGAGGGGTGGCCGGCCCACAGCTGTGGGTGCACTGTGGGTCCTGGGTGGGAGGGCACTCCACGACCCAGAGGCTGCCTCGGGGGGTGAGAGGGTGCTGGCCCGGCCGTTCAGAGGGAGGCCTAGCCTGGGCCGAGGACTTTGGACAGGCTTGTTGGAAATCAGCGAGCGCCCAGGCCAGGCTGGTTCCAGAGGAGGGCAGCGCCCGGCCGCTGACAGCAGGGTCCCGCCGGACGCCAGCCTCCTCACCGTCACTCTATCTACGGGCAGGCGCGGGCTGGCCGGGCACGGGCCGGATTGTGAGGTAGCCTTCTCCACCACCCCCACCTGTCTCCTCTCCTGGGTGCCCTGGGAAGGCCTCTCAGAGGCAGCCTGGCCCGCCGCGG